CAACTTTGATATACGAGATGAAAATGAAAAGATGCTTGGACGAACTCTTGAATGTCGGCTAAAGAGATGCCTGGATATTATTTGCCCTGGCACTCTGGTACACAACGGCCTACAGCGTAGCCTCGAAAAGTATTTTGCACAGGCGATATTTACGCAGGACAAACACGCAAAAGGCACAAGGCAACAAAAGACAAGGGGTGCGTAAGATACAAAACTATATAACGTTATATAACAATATATAACGCAGTTTCCACGACACGGATAGTATGTATGTCTATATAGCTACATACATACACAGTAAATTACGATATCATGAATACTAGACTGCGCATTCCACGACCTGCGGGTTTTACGTTAAACGAAAGAAGAATACATTTCTCTTCTTCCTCGCATGTCTACCAGCGCGTACGAAATAAACAATGAAGCAACGCAGAATGTAATTCGTTAAAACGTTAATAGCGACTCGACGAACGAATGGTTGCAAAGATTATCAATTGCAAACAGTCTTCTTATCGTAATCTGTGATTGATCAATATATTTCTAAAGTAAGAATCGTGCAATTTCTAGAATTTTTAAATTCTATGTAGTTTGAAAAAGGTCATAATTGAAATTATATGATTTAATAACATTAAAAGGATATTAAAACGAAATATTGATAGAGTTAATCTGCAACTGATCGATATATTCGCAGATTTAAAAAATTAAAAATAATTAAATTATTAAAAAAAAATTAATATGGTGCAGATATAGTTTGTAATATGAGGGAATAATCACAGTTTTGTGTCATAAATTAATTCTAAATTCATAAAGATAATCTACGATTAATCAATGTATTTGCAAATTAAGAATCATACAATTTATGGACTCATTAAATTCTATTTTGCTACGAAATGAGATCGTATAGTTCAGTAATACGAGTATTAACCCGTCTTATTTAACTACAATACTTTATATTTTAATACTTTTGCATCTGTACTAATACGTAAAAAAGAATACTTTGTATAGCCCGATTGAAATAAACAGAATAAAACAAAGAATGTAATTCAATTCAACATAAAACAACAAAGAGTTATACTGTGTATAGATATAATACTGTGTGTCTGTACCTATACAATACTGTATAGGTTATAAATTATGACAATAAATAAGTAAAGAGGTAAGTATTAATACCAATAGCATTTTTAAACCGGTACCAGTAGTCCTTTACGAGAATGGTTTAGTGACGAATGTTTTATTGCGCTTAAACTACTTTCAAGTATATAAAGCATGGTAATAGTCACGGCACGGCTACCGTTTCCTACGTATTAACATTCAACACGACGAGCCAAAGTTGAAGAGAGCGCCGCGTTGAGGAACCGTTCTGTGCCTGCAATCAGGCTTTTCTCTACTATTACAGTTGTGCGCGGTAAAGTCCAGAAATCCAACGCATTAAGAAGATGAACATTCTCGTCATATATGGTATATACAGTATATATGTGAAACATACAATCTCGAAGTTGCGAAAGCTACTATTCGAATACGAGTCAATTAAAAGGAAATAAGAAGAGAATAAGAAAAATAATTGGTAGTTCTGAAGACATAAAAGAACCGTGACAGATTCTACCAATAAATTTTTATTAGAGTTCAACCATATTCAATGTCAACGTGAATTTTTATTTGTAAATACAAAAACCACTTTGTACATACTGAGATGAAATAAACATATCCATTCATGAGTATGCAAGTGCATCGTTAATACAATAACAAAAAGGCGATCTATTTTTAATTTGCAATGAATGGATACTATGCATAAATTGCGATCTTCATATTTCGTGGAAATCATTAAAGAAAGTACGTACGCTGCTTACCTAATTTCCGAAGGTATGTACAAATACGGTTTGCGTTCCGCATTGAGATTGCTTTTTCCAGATATGTATAAATCAGAAGAAGTTAACCTCAACAACACTGGCTACACGCGGTCGAATGCGCGGGTGCCGCAAATCAGAATGTGCGCATGCGCATCCACAGTGGAATGTGCCCTCTCTCCATGGACATCTTCCCATCCTGCAAATAGCGATGGACTCGACACGTTTCCAAGCGCTTCAAATATTATTCAAAATAAAACATTCTCCACAATCTGACAAGTTTAATTCACCACAAGAATGAACAAACATTGTATTTAGAACAAATGTTGCAATTAATATATAAATATATAATTAATATATATATAAATGACTTTCTCACGTACAAAAAGAGATAGTCGAGAAATGAGCATTAACAATTTAATATTTCCCTTTTTTCATCATATAAATATAAATAATGGAAGGAATTATTACAATAAGAAGCTAGCTGCACTTTCCAATAATATGGGAAGATCAACGAAAATCAACTCAAAATTAGTCAAAATCAAATCACTTTCCTAAACATGTTATAAATTCATGGTCAACTATAATAATATACGTAGTAATAAACTATTACACTCTTCCTTATTGCTCCAAACCCTTAAATTTTTGAAGATAACTTATTTCAGATGAATATTTCAAATCTTACATTTTTCCAATAAAGGAGTAATCTCACTATCTTTTCCTTTTGTTTGTAACTGCATAAATTAAAATATTCACTTTGGTATGTTACGGTATAACAAATATAATTTGACAATATTGATTATATGTATGTATTTCACGTTTAATTCACCATCTTAAAAATTGTTATTATTATTTTATAATCGATTGTGAATTTTTATAATATATGAAATTGCATATTCCAAGGACAAAATGTAATTCCAGTTTTTGACATTCCTGGATTTAAATAATATTGTTAAGCTGATTTACATTTTTGTATCGCTAATTACTCGAAAGTTTGCCTCGGAAACAATTGTGTGGCCATCACTAGTTGCGAGGCACCTTTCCCTTCTCCAGTCTCATCGCATTGTCATCTCATTCCACTCGGCGACGTGCCGTCGTACGGTGGTCATCGAAATGTGCATACACGAACTTGTTACATGTATATATTTAAAAGTATATATCCGCTACAGAAAATTCATTACATGTAAATATCACACGTGAGTGAGCTTTTAGTATAAAAAACACTCACCATAAAGTTATTGTTTCAACTGTTACAAACTTGGTCGAATAAATTTGAAAATAATAAAAATTCAGAAAATTCCTAAACCTAACGTCCTATCTAAATTAGATTAATATTTCTGACGGATTATAAAAAATAATAAAAAGAGAAATCAATTTTATTTGCATAAATACAATAGACAACACATAGTATTTGCAAAAGTTGCTACTTGGATATTCTTAATTTCACAGAAAATAATTAATCAATTAGCGAAAAAGTATACATAACGATCACAATCATATACTTTTTATCAAGTAAATATAAAACATACGAAAATTCGTCTCTTACGCATAACTACACATGGAAAGAATTTTTACAGGATGGAAATCTTTCACATCACGCATTAATAACGAAAACCATAGTAAAGTATAATAGATATTGTTAACATAAGATCAATATGTCATTAATGAATAGACAAGAAACACGCATCGAAACATCGTATATTACCCATGTAAATTCTGTTTTAAATACAACTTTTCCATTCCACTTTCATCGCCCGCGCTTTAAAAAAATGGCGGCCATTATTTAAACATGTTGCCAATTAAAACAAGCGTACAAAAAAACGATTACCGTGATCGAAAACCACAAAACGTTTAATTTCGATCACACGAGCATAAAATTAAAAAGTGTGAGAAAGTTACCTCTTTTTTCGTTCCTAATGATTTATGTTAGCAGAAAGAACATCCCGATAGTGCATGTAATCCGGTTAATCCAACGTAACACAAAGAAGCCTGGTTTGGGCGCGCAACAGGTGGACGTAACGAATAAACACTTTTTCCGTAAGGATATTAAAAATGCACAGCACAACACAAATCGCACGTTTGCTGCCGCTTACACGAGATTCAGTGATCTCACGTGAACTGAACTTCGACGCGGATGAAACGAATTCCTCTTTTTCTCTCACACGTTAATCGAACCGCGGAAAAAAACATTCTGACGTTACCACGAACGACATTCTTATTCCTAAAAATTCGTCAACTTTCCTGGTAATTGTTATATGTGCAAGCTTATAGAAATTTAGGACACAGTTCTGTAGAACAAAACTTAAAAAGTTCTATAAAACACCATTGCAACATACTGCACCGGCGGCCGGCGACTGACTGACTAGCGGCACACGCCGACTTCCCATAATCGACAAACTAACCTAACACAGATGAATCAACTTGTACCCCACAAAACTCTACGCGAATCGTATGAATTATTTTAAATTTATCGATAATATAGTACACAATGAACTATGTCTTCTCAATTTATAAAAATTTTATGGAGTTCCATATATAATTCATTACGTAAATCATAATTACGTTAAATTTATTTTACAAATTTTGATAATATTTTGTAATTATAATAAGTATTTTATTATTATAGAGTAAATTAAAATATTTGACAGAATTGTGTTTAATAATATTTATATGTGAAAGTATATTTTTCCATTTCGCATATTACTAGAATGAAGTAAATTTTAAAATGTCGAAATTTGTTTATAACGTTATCTTATGTATAAATTATATATCTATAACATAGTATAATATACTTTTTTATAATAATCAATAATAGATCGTGTGTGTGTGTGTGTGTGTGTGTGTTATGTAATCAACTGTTAATTTTGGTGCACAACAATTTATATTACTGAAATAAACTTTCATTTCGATTTGTATTAGAAAATAATAATAGAAATACGTAAAAGAATTAATAAAATGATGCTATATGACTAATTTATTTATCTATTTATATTTAAATAGACAATTAAACCGACATATAAATGTACATTAAATTTCCCGCTAAGCAATATTTTAGTAGATAAGTGCTTCCATCTTACTGTGGGAATTATAAGCAAAAGAGATTTTATAAGCTTAGAAAAGCAACATATCTGAGCGGACATAGTGGGCGCCATAGTCAGCGGAACTATCTGCAAAGATCACAGTGTGACGTAAACGACGATCTAAACAAGTATCAGCTGTGTAACAGTCATTGTTCGTATCCGTTTTGGCAGGCGTGCAAGAATTCTGTTTTTCTTCGTTTTCTGATCGTCGGTTAGCAGGTCCGACGGGATAAACGGCATACGCATTAATCAAGAAAAGAAGCAGAAAAAAGGGGGGAGGCTACGAGTTTTCCGTGCAACGCAACCGTGGCTGCGTGCGTGCTCCAGCCCCAGCCCCACCAACGATCTTAGGGACAATAATCGTGTGAAAAACGGGGCGGTACGCGCATAAGCCTGGCCTCGAGCAGCGAGTCAGACGACGGTGGACTCGCTCCGCCACCGTGCAAAAGGTCTCGTAGTTCTCTCCCGACTACTCTACGACCAGCGGACGAGCACCACACCGATCCTGAGATGGAAAACTATCGGTAACGCAAACAGGGCCCTAGATCATCGCGAGCGCGTAGTCAACACACGAAGGGGCTTACCCCCTTCGTTATGACGCTCTCACGTGTATCTTCTTCCTTGCAGAATCTCAAGACGTATCGACGTCGGATTCCTTTCATATGTGCTGTCTATCAAACGGTTTTCTTATTTATTGAAATCCTTTCATCGAATAGTCATAAAATTTTTGTACATAAACATGTACACTTTTGTACACATAGCATTTTAAAGTTCTTATGATAGAAAAAACATTTAAAAACAGTCAAAACAATAAAAGAAGAGACACTTAAGTCAAGATAGAACATTAGTACACATGCTTGTTAATATTGCGGACTACTATTGTCATCACGGGTAACATTTCCGTGTGCATGACAGCATAATGCAACAGCAGACTTCAAACGGTGGCATTTCCTCCGGGCTGCAGCAGAATGGTTCAACAGCTGACTCTGGTGGACCTCATGCAAATGGCAACATGATACCGGAATCGGATAATGACATCAATAGTGTTAATGGAGAAACAAATCAGAATTTGGGACCGCCGAAAATAATGGACAAAACCAATCAAGATATTGTCAGACTTATTGGACAACATTTGAAGACAGTCGGACTGAAGTATGTAACTTTCAATTTAGTTTCTGTATATTCCCAAATTATAGTGATAAAGAATGATTTTAAAAGGTCATTTTATATATGTTATGATTAAGATTCATAAAACTGTTTATGTAATTTATATGCTGTTAGTTAAATACGAAGTATCACAATTCAATCTTCATGAATTTGTTCCTTTATTGTAACTGTTCTTGAAAGTTTTCTTTGTTTCTTAAGTTTTCTTTGTATGCATTTATCAGAAGTATTGTATCACAACCTATCTGGACTACGTACTCTGTGGTGGGAGAAAGCTAATTATAGAACCTTGAAATATAGGCAGCAGTATCTGCAAGTTATATTTGCTTTATAATGTGGGCATTAAAACAGAGACATATACATTATGTATGCATAAGTTGTATTTGTCTATAATAGATTATTATTGCTATTGTTATTAGTAGCATCATTACCATTTTACCATGTTATTATGTTTTATTCAGATGGTAGCAATATACTTAAAAAATATAGATGTTTGTAACAAAGACTCGTTTGAAACTAAATAAAAGTAGACTTTTCATAAAATTAGATAATACTAGCCAATCTTTCACTATATTAAATTGACCATATGAAATATCTTTTTTTAGTCGCACAGCAGATCTTCTCATGCAAGAGTCCGGTTGTCGTCTAGATCATCCAGCTGCTGCAAAATTTAGACAACATGTTATGGATGGAGATTGGACAAAGGCAGAGCACGACCTTAGTGAACTTAAAATATTTTTAAATGGAGCAAATCAAAGTCTAGTAGTAAATATCTTCACATTTAGAATATTTTAAATATGATTAAACATATACACACATATTTCATTAATACTATCCATTCATAGGAGATGAAATTCTTGTTACTAGAACAAAAATACTTAGAATACTTAGAAGAAGGATTAGTACTGGAAGCATTGCATGTCTTACGCAATGAACTTACACCTTTAGGGCATAATACAGGTCGTGTACACCAGTTATCTGCATTTATGATGTGCAGTGGACGTGATGAATTACAGGTATTATACATTTTACTAGTAATATTCTATTCCAGAAATATATATAATAAAATGTGTGTTAAATATTTTATTGCTAATCAATTATGTACTAATAAACTTTCAAAGATTGAATTTTGTATGGATATAGAAATATTCTGAAACTAACCTGTTACTGAAAATTTGATCACTAGCAAATAGACACTTGTTAACAGACACGTGCAGGCTGGGATGGCAAAGGTGCAGTCTCGAGGGCTGCTTTAATGGATAGACTACAGAAATATCTGCCACCCTCCATTATGTTACCACCACGTCGCCTTCATTCTCTTTTGTGTCAAGCTGTGGAAATGCAAAATCAACAATGTACATACCACGTAACACATACTCAGGTAATATTTATTATCTTCTTTTAAGTATTTAAAATTTTTGAGATAAAAAGTAAATCTTCCTTTATAGTTTTATGAAGGATATCATTTTATTCATTTAGGATATATATTTAAATGACATATTGCTATTTTTGAAAATTAAAAAAGGAGCAAAATTTTTTTAAACGTTATACGTCTTTAAATTTATATATTCAACTTTTTTACTGTTAATACAATTATGATTTTATGTCCGTTATAAATTAGGCAAGTTTAGAAAATGTGTCACTGCTTGTGGACCACAGCTGTAGCAAAGAACAGTTCCCGTGCCATACTCTACAGGTGCTCAATAATCATTGTGATGAAGTGTGGTATTGTAAATTTTCTCCTGATGGTCGTAAACTAGCTACAGGTTCTAAAGATATGACTGTAATTATTTGGGATGTTGATCCAGTAAGTAAATTAGTAAATATAACAAAATAAATTTTGATTGAGCGAGTAACGATGTTATATTAAAAATAGGAAACATTGAGAGTAACTCATAGAAAAACATTAGAGGGTCATACTTATGGAGTAGCACTAATTGCTTGGAGTCCTGATAGCAGCCTTTTAATTGCGTGTGGACCTGAAGATTGTCCAGAGCTTTGGCTTTGGAGTATTGACCCACCTGATTATGAACTACGTGCAACAGTAACCCAAAGTACTGATGATTCACTTACAGCTTGTGCTTGGTATCCTGATTCACGTAAATTTGTAGCTGGAGGACTTCGTGGACAGTTCTATCAATTTGTAACATATCAATTAATTTCTAACATATTACATTTCATTAAGCTAGTGAAGTAATGCATTAAATATTTGAACACAAAATTTTAGGATATTGAAGGTAATGTCTCAGAATCATGGGAAGGAGTTAGAGTAAAATGTCTGTGGTGTAAAAATGATGGAAAAACGGTCCTCGCTGCTGATTCGCATCATAGGATTCGGGGATATAATTTTGACGAATTATGTGATTTCACAATGTAAAATCATAGTTGCTTTATTGTGGATAATGTAATGTAGAGAACAATAGAAGGGTATTATATTAACTAAAATATTTAATATTATAGATTACAAGAAGATCATCCTTTGATGTCCTTTAGTGTAGATAAAGCAGATCGACTTGCACTTCTTAATGTGGCCAATCAGGGTGTACATCTTTGGGATTTACAAGATAGATGTTTAGTAAGACGTTTTCAAGGTGTTACTCAAGGACATTTCACAATCCATAGTTGTTTTGGTGGTGTAAATCAAGATTTTGTTGCATCTGGTAGTGAAGGTAAATTATTTAACAAAAATATTTTATTTATATCATTTCCGAAGTAAAAATTATATAAACATTTCTATAATGATATTAATTTCTATTATTTGTCCTATTATTCTATAACTATTCCTATTATAGATACTAAAGTCTATGTGTGGCATATCAAAAGGGAATTACCTATAGCAATTCTAACAGGACATAGTAGAACAGTAAATTGTGTTTCATGGAATCCAGTATATCACCAAATGATGGCTTCTGTATCAGATGATTGCACAGTGAGAATATGGGGGCCGAGGTCATCTTCTCCAGAAAAAGTTGATAGTGACAAGACTGGTAAGTGTATTAAACTTTGTTTTATCAAAGCTATCTATAAAAATATTAATAATCTTTTTAAATGAAAATAATTGACTTTAATCTATGTACTTAAATTTTAGTTCCATTAGAAAGTAACTCCTCAAATGGTAGTGGATGGCATGAAATGGTATCGTAGCGTACTACAGTATATCAGTGTTCCCATGACCTCATGGTGTTCAAAAGACTGTCATATTGATTGTCATACTGACTCTTTCCTGCCCCAGCAGCTATCTCTTTATGCCTCATTACTGTAAGTCTGGGTAAATGACTACTATTGAGAGTAAAAGAGAGATGTGTTAGCATTATGCTAATTCATTAAACAACTAATAATCAGGAGTTATTTGAGAATCAATCTTTTCTTTATTACCAGATTTTATATACAATATTATGGTTTACCTGTTTGTCAAAATTAAATTTAAATGATTTATCAATATGAATTAATAATGTAAATTTTTGCAAACAAAAACAGCATAATATATGTTGGCTAATATAAGTTGTGACAAAATAGAATTTCAACAAATTCCGCCGTAGCATTGATGTAAAGAGAAAAATTAATGTGCATTAATAAGCATAAAGTAAAAAACATTGCAGCAAGATATAAAATTTATGATTTCGTGAGACTATTATCAAAAAAAGAAACCTTGTTTTGACAGAAACTGTGTCAGATTTAATCTTTCTAAAAATAAAAAGCTGTAAATAACAATTTCGTGCTTAATGAATTTCTAATTAATTTTGTTAATCATTGATGAGGGTGATATCATTCTCATTTTTCACTATATATGTAACTGCCATCTTACATTAATATTGTATGTTTCAAATTGTATACAGATGTCGTAAATCATCATTAAAAGTGTAGAAGTAATACGAATATTATATGGAGAGAAATTTAATTTCAGTAAATAATTTGATGACTAAGTGAGATAAATTATGAAGTTTATAAACAGTTTGAACTCTGTTATGAGACGTACAGATTGACGCAAAATGAGTCAGAAATTAAAAATTCAACGATTTTAGTATAAAAAGAAATAAACTCGATTTGTATGTGAAAGTTGAGCATGAATCCTGATATTAGTACCTTTATTCAGTACTGTGATTTTATATTATTAAAATGTACGCACTGAATGTCAAAAATTTATAAATATTATATTTGCCTTAATATTTTCACGCTCATAAAAATTTTAATATAACATTGGTAGAATAACATAGATTTTGAACATTTATTTTAAAACATTAGTTCCTTGATATAAATCAAATATCTGTATATGTCGCATTTCATTTATTACTAGTATTTTGATTTTTATTATTACAAAATAACAATAACTATCTTTTATAACTATAATAATATCTAGAAATTTTAAATCAAAACTAAAGACATATGCTATGAATAATTGTTATTTTGAATATATGTAACATTACAGCATCTTTTAACACTATACTTATTACATTTTTACTTCATACATCAATTTTTGTTTTATTCATAGCAAACTATATGATTTGTCATTCTCTGCCTTTTTAAAATGATTTCTTTACTAATAAACAAAAAAAACATACATAATGTAAATTAAATTCTTTCTTTTTTTATAATATGGTAACATTAAATAATATACTATAAAATATAATCACAAATAAAAATATAAGAATATTTAAACACTTACTTTTCCTCTGTTGGATTTGTTATCAAACAATGAAAACCAAACTGGAGGTCTCACAGTATCAGAAGTTGTAGAGTATGTGTGTACAAATACATTCAGAACAAATAATGTTACAAACATGTTTACATAACAAGAGAAGTTTACATGCAAAGGAAATGTCTGTAGTTTATGCCCCTGAAATTGTAGTGAGATAATATAATACCAATCACTATTATCATTTGCATTTACCTGTGGTGCCTTAGCACTTTATAATCTAATTAAAAGTTTCCAGGACTTTTTCATAATTTGGTATAGTTTGCAATATAACAAACAATAAGCGATTAATTTTGCTTAAAAATAAGTTATGAATTCAAATCTAACATACGTCTTCATCATAATTCTACCAAAAATATCTTTGTCTTTAATCTTTTCGGTTATTTGGAATACTAATAAAGTGTTAATAATTGTCTCATATAATTAAGTATTTTTATATTTATTGACAAATATTTCAATATTACTATTCTAAACAATAAGGAAAGTTATTAGAATTCTTATTTTCTATAAAATTAGTGTACAACAACTTGATATATAAAATATGTCATGTTTGACAAATTAAATATAGAAATATTTGCATAAAAACTAAATTATTTAAATTATTTGACGTAAATAAGGGGCAAAAAATTTTCATAGAATCTTGAAAGTTGAAAAAAATAACCTTCTTAGAAGTTTGATTTATGATAGACAGAATAAAATGAATAATTCAAGTAAATAGCTACTTTTTGAGCAGTATTATTTTATGTTGGATCATAATATATAATTTTTAAATAGTTTTGGACCAGATATGTACTGAAATTTTGACAAAATTAAAAAGAACTACAAAAAGATAATACATATTTAAGCATAAACTATATCTTACATAACGATTTGCGTTTTTACAGTGCAATTGGAGTTGTTTATTAGGAAAGCTAATATAATTAAATTATAATATGATTCATCTTATCAAGGAAGTAAAACTTGTTAAAGAATCTTGTTTATGTACATTATTATTATTATTATTATTATTATTATTATTATTATTATTATTATTATTATTATTATTATTATTATTATTATTATTATTATTATTATTATTATTATTATTATTATTATTATTATTATTATTATTATTATTATTATTATTATTATTATTATTATTATTATTATTATTATTATTATTATTATTATTATTATTATTATTATTATTATTATTATTATTATTATTATTATTATTATTATTATTATTATTATTATTATTATTATTATTATTATTATTATTATTATTATTATTATTATTATTATTATTATTATTATTATTATTATTATTATTATTATTATTATTATTATTATTATTATTATTATTATTATTATTATTATTATTATTATTATTATTATTATTATTATTATTATTATTATTATTATTATTATTATTATTATTATTATTATTATTATTATTATTATTATTATTATTATTATTATTATTATTATTATTATTAATTATATTATTATTATTATTATTATTATTATTATTATTATTATTATTGACTATATTTCTTAAACATTTAGATTTTAATTTCTTATCTCATATGTACATAAAATGATAAATATATGGTTTTATGGGAAAAAACTGCCGTTTGTTATCGTAGCAGTGTGTGTTTGTTCTTAAAATGTCTAGTATAGATATGTTATATTAAAAGTGCGTAATATTAGGTACTAATTGTATGATTTGAGGCCAATAATGCGTGAGTTAACTGCTTGTTTTACTTATAATTTATCCGATAATATTTTAAATAAACTATGAAGAGTCAAATAGATGTGTGAATAAGAATTTGTTTATGCATAGTATGTATAATAATGAATATTTCCTATTTTTCGAATAATGGACATTTCTAATTTTTAAAAACGAATATGTACTTCTTAATCTTTTAAAATATAATCTACATTGTGTAACAAATTGTTTTAGTGAGATATTACTCTATTATTACAGGTTAAAACGAATCGTAATAAATTTAATAATAGGTTAATATCATAATTTTGCATTAATAATACTAAAATTAAACAAAATTTTGATACAGAATTTGTGCTTAACTTTAAATACTTGATATATAGAAAGAATTAAATAAAAAGAAATTACATCATTTCCTGTACAAATTATGAGAAAAGTTATCTTAATAATTATTTTTTTATTGCTATATATATGACAAACACTACTTGCAGATGCACTCTTAAATGATTTTTTAAAATACACATTTCCCATTTACATATATATTTTATCTATGCTTATGTATGAAAAGCTGTATAATAAATATTCTTCTACAATCTTTATATTAGGCTGTTTCCATAGGTACAATGTTCTGCACTTTCTAACTTAACGTGTATACTATTAAATTATATCGCTATTTTATACATGAAATGTTATGTTATGGAAAAAGTTTATTATAATATATTATTCTGCATTAATATTTTCAAATTTATTTGTATATTCATAGCGAAATGTGAAAAAACATATTACTATATATATATATATATATATATATATATATATATAGTAGTATGTTTTTTATGCAATATTTAATTTTTAAATACCATATATAGGATGCGACCGAATAACATATATAAGCGAGCATGAGGTGATGCCTGATGGAAAAATAAGGAGAAAATATAGAATAAAAATTTTTCATACAGTGCTTCATTTTCAAGAACATCAAATTTGAAAATTTACCAAGTATACTTGAGCATGGCTAGTTTTGAATTCGACAGGAGAATAGTATACGTGAAAAAAATTTGAAAATGTAGAATGAAACTTTTTCACAAGACTTTGTTTCTGAGAAAAATAAATTTGAAAATATATGATATTAGATCGATCCTTTTCTCAACATGTTCAGTCTCTACCTTCTTGAAAATAAAGTCTTACACAGAAATATTTTATTGCACTTTTTTACTTACTTTGACATATAAATTTACCTCCAGCTGATTATTTTAAGTATATTTCAAATATACATATTTGGCATATTTTCATACTAAGTTTTTGCGAAAACTAAGAGTCGGACGAAAAAATTGTATTCTATATTTTCAACTTATTTTTCACAAGAAATTACCTCATGCCCACTTGTACGTGTTATTTGGCTGCATCCTATATAGTAACAATCTATCAAAACAAAACATTTTTTAAAGAAGGCCTAAATAAGGCAGAACAAAATTTTACATACTACCACAACTTCCCTATTACAATTATTTAATTCAAAATATAAGAATTGACAAAATGCTTTTATATTGTACATCATCTTCTGTTAATAGATTTATAATCGATTTTATATCATAACCGATAGATGAACAGATACAAAAAAATAAGTAGAATGTTATAATATTATTATTAGTTATGCAATAAATAAGATGGGTCACTTAAAATAGGAACACTATTTTTGGTAATGCACAAAAATTTTTAAGGGAGGACTTAAAGATATTTTATTTAATATTCGATCTGAAGGGGCAAGTAAATATAAAAATTGTATCTTCGAAGATATTTGTATATTTTAAAACAAATTCAACTATTCTATAAAAATTACATAACTGCTTAAAATTGTATCTATAAGATAAAAATTTCAATTGTATAGTTTAAAATCGCTGTCCTAAATTTTATTAGAAATTTTTCGTTTAAGGGTAGTATAATTGAATTTATATATCATATAATTCCGGAAAGTGATTATTGTATTATTTGTCCCTTCAAATTAAACACTTCCTCCTTTAAATATTTTTCATACCACTAAAAACAATGGAGATATTTTAGATTGCAATCTTACATGTCTCTTGCTGTATATTTGATTATAATAAAATTCTTTAATATGTTAGATAAAATTTATATATAGTTTTACACCTATCACATTATATAGAACGTAATTTTTATCGTAGATAATATTACTAATATGTTTTTTATTTCGTCATTATTAATAATTTAGTATATTATTAAAATAACAAATGTTTCGTGTAACTTTAAATTTTCCGCTCTTTATATCGAAAGAATATATCGAACAGTATAACTTCTTTCGAGAGTTACATAACGAGAGTAAAAATAAGATTGCTTTACTTACTATCCCTATCGAAATCCTTCGATATCTCGAAAAATATATCTATCGTCCTTTGCCGTATTGATAATTTCCATTTTAGGAAATCGTATTGTTAGCTAGTATGCTTTACAAGCCGCCACGAAGGACTTTTTCTCCATTAAAAATATTTATTGTGTCTGAAAGTCTATGTTTCTTTGGAGCGGTAATATTGTGGCAATCTTTAAGTACATTCCAAGGTATATATGAACTATACG